TGCTATAATAGTCGTGTGCAGGCTTTTTGTGTGCACAGCAACTCTCAATTCCTTTGAGTAAACATGAAGGAGAGGAATTGCTGGATCGTATGGTAAGAGTATGTTTAGTTTTGTGAGAAATTGCCAAACTATATTACAAGGAGGCTGTACCATTTTGCAGTCCTTCTAGCAATGTAGGAGAATTCCTGTCACCAGCATCTGGTGTTGTCAGTGTTCTGAATTTTGGACATTCTAATAGGTATGTAGTGGTATCGCATTGTTGTTTTAATTTGCATTTCCCTGATGACATACGATGTGGAGCATCTTTTCATATGCTTCTTTGCCATCTGTGTATCTTCTTTAGTGAGGTGTTTGTTAAGCTCTTTGACCTATTTTTTTAATCAGGTTGTTTGTTTTCTTATTGTTGAGTTTTAAGAGTTCTTTGTGGGGCCAGCCTCGTGTTTGAGTGGTTAAGTTCACGAGCTCAGCTTCAGCAGCCCAGGGTTTCACCAGTTCAGATCCTGGGGGCAGACTGAGCACTGCTCATCAAGCCATGCTGAGGCGGCACCCCACATAGCACAACCAGAGGCACTCACAACTAGAATATACACTATGTGCTGGGCGGCTTTGGAGAGAAGAAGGAAAAATAAATAAAATTTTTTAAAAAAGAGTTCTTTGTAAATTTTGGATAGCAGTCCTTGATCAGATGTGTCTTTTGCAAATATTTCCTCCCAGTTTGTGGCTTGTTTTCTCATTCTCTTGACGGTGTCTTTTGCATAGCAGACGTTTTTAATTTTAGTGAAGTCTAGGTTATCAATTATTTTATTCATGGGTCATGTTGGATCTAAAAAGTCGTCACCATACCCAAAGTTATCTGGATTTTCTCCTATGTTATCTTCTAGAAATTTTATAGTTTTGCATTTTAGATTTAAGTCTCTGATCCATTTCAGTTAATTTTTGTGAAGAATGTAAAGTCTGTGTCTAGATTCATTTTTTTGCATGTGGACGTCCAGTTGTTCTAGCATCACTTGTTGAAAAGACTGGCTTTGTTCCATTGTATTGCCTTTGCCCTTTTATCAAAGATCAGTTGACTATAATTGTGTAGGTCTATTTCCAGGCTCTCTATTTTGTTCCATTAATCAATTTGTCTGTTCTTTTGTCAATACCACAGTGTCTTGATTACTGTAGCATTATAGTAAGTCTTGAAGTCAGGTAGTGTCACTTCTCTGACTTTGCTCTTCTCCTTCAGTATTGTGTTGGCTATTCTGGGTCTTTTACCTCTCCACATAAACTGGAGAAGCACTTTGTTGATATCCATAAAATAACTTGTTGGGAGTTTGATTGGGATTGCATTGAACCTCTAGATCAAATTGGGAGAACTGACATCTTGGTAATATTGAGTCTTCTTATCCATGAACATGGAATATCTCTCCATTTATTTAATTCTTGGATTTTGTTCAACAGTTTTATTTTTATCTTCATATAGATTCTGTACATATTTTGTAAGATTTATACCTACGTATTTCATTTTGAGAGTGCTAATGTAAGTAGTGTTGTGTTTTTTATTTCAGATTCCCTTTATTCATTGCTAGTATACAGGAAAGCAATTGACTTTTGCATATTAACCTTGTATCTTGCAACTTTTCTATAATTGCTTATTAGTTCCAGGATTTTCTACATAGACAATCATGTCATCTGTGAACAAAGGCAGTTTTATTTCTTCCTTCCCAATCAGTGTACCTTTTATTTCCTTTTCTTGTCTTATTGCATTAGTGTCTTAGTCCCATCAGCCTGCTATAACAACTGACTGTAGACTGGGTGGCTTATAAACAACAGTCATTTATTTTTGACAGTTCTGGAAGTTGGGAAGTCTGAGATCAAGGTGCCAGCAGATTTGGCATTTGGTGAGGCCCACTTCCTGGTTCATAGACAGCTGTCTTCTCACTGCGTCCTCACATGGAAGAAGGGGTGAAAGAGTTCTCTGGGGTTTCTTATAAGGGTACTAATCTCACTCATGAAGGCTCCACCCTCACCATCTAATCACCTCCCAAAGGACCCACCTCCAAATACTATCACATTGGCAGTTAAAATTTCACCATATGAATTTTGGGAGGACCCTTCCGTCTATAGCAATTATAGGACTTCTGGTATGGTGTTGAAAAGGAGTGGTGAGAGAAGACATCCTTGCCTTTAGCATCCTGATTTTAGCAGGAAAGCTTCTAGTTTCTCACCGTTAAATATGATGTTAGTTATAGATTTTTTTGTAGATGTTCTCTGTCAAGATGAGGAAGTTTTTTCTATTCCTATTTGCTGTATTCACTTTATTTTAATGTTTATATTCTATTGGTGTAGGTGTTTTGTCTCTTGGATGTACAGTCAATACCTTGTTTTAAAGTCTCTTGAAATAATTCCCCTTCTTGTGGTTACTTACCAACTACTTGGGTAGATAGGTTCATTTGTTTCAGCTTGTTTTTTATTTCTGGGGATATTGTCCTTTTTGACTTTATTTCTAAGTGATGTAAAACTTTTACATGAATTCACAGTCAAAACTAATAAAATACATTGAGAAGCCTATCTTCTACCCTTTACTCAATCTGTTCTCATACTACCCTACCATTTTTATTAGTTTTTGGTTTATCTTTCCATTGTTACTTTATATATATAAAAAAATCATATGTAAATGTATTTATATCCTTCCCTCCTTTCTTAAACAAAACAGGGCCTACTATACATACTGTTTCACACCTTGCTTTTTTTTCACTTGACAATATATCCTAGCAATCACTCATAGCTATATGCAGAGTTCTTTCTCATTAAAACTGTACTGTTCCTGATTAAAACATTAAAATTGTGAGGCTGTACCTTTCCCCTATTGATAGGCATTGGAGTTGTTTCCATTACTTAGCTGTTATAAAAGTGTTAAAATGAATCTCCTTCAGCATGCACCATTACATCTTTTTATCAGTATATTTTTGTGCTAGATTCTCAGAATTGGATTGCTGGATCAAAAGGTGAGTGCATATGTATTTACTCTATACTCATTAAACAACAAGTTGTCTGACATAATTTGGAACAATTTATCCTGTATAAATGAGCTTGGCAGATGATTTTGGCTAACAAATTAAAGTGGTAGAGTTTTGGGTGCAAAAGTTCTAATATTGAGAATAGATTTCCTGACTTCTTAATTATAACGGACTGTAGGGGAGGAAAAACTATTCCTATACTTTCTAGGTCCTTCTGGCTGGATTAAATTGACAGGAGACAGAAAAACAGGAGAAAATCAAACAAAGTTTAATAACATGTATATATGGTAGAAACCCAGGAAAACCGAGTAACTCACCAAAATGGCTGAAGCCACCACCTTAAATACCCTCCTCAGCTAAAGACAAACCAGGATGTTGGGGTCAGTGGTTTGGGCCTTCAAAAAGGAGGAAGGTAATTTACATGGAGATGGAAAATCAAATGTTTGATAAATACTTGTTTGCTGGGTTATCTATGGACCATGGGACCCAAAAGAGATCTTTTGATAAGATGGCCCTTGCCAAATGCCGTCCTGTCTACCATACCTAAAATTATCTGTGGTGATAACTCGTTCTTGGAACAGGTCCTTCTATCTTAAATTTTTTTAGGCAATTTGGGGGAAGGTCAAATGTTCTTCCTGAGTCTTCTGAGCCTTTATCATCTGCAGCTCAAAATAATCCGCATAGCAGAGGGGCGCCTCTTGGGGCCGCCTATTCTGATCCCCCACAGGATGTATCATTCTAAATGAGTTTTCCTCTATGCATATTGATTGGGAAATTCCTTGAAAGCAAAAGTCTTTCTCCTGGATTTATGTGGGATGTTTTATCCGGCATTACCGATGGCAGACCTTTAGAAGGAAGAAAATATTTTTTACCCCATGCTTTGGAGAGTATGAAACCCATACTCCCCATGTGGGCAAACCTTAATTGAACACCTGTTCTGTGTCAGGCAGGCCCATGCTGGGTGTTCAAGAGGAGAGACCCAGCCCTCGCCTTGAGGGGCTCACTCCAGTGGGGAGGCGGTGACCTCAGAGCCTGGCAGATGGATGGTCCGTGCCTCAGGTTTCCACCAAAGGAGGCAGACCCAGGTTTGGAACCACGTAGAAGTGAATTTGAATCTGGGCTCCCCTACTTCTTGGTTCTTAGCTTCTCTGATCCTCAGTTTCTTCCTGTGAAAAGGGGACACCAAGGGGTCTGAGGTTGTGATAAACCCACGTGCCTGGCGCCCTTAGCATACTATAGCCAGTGAGACGGGACATCCCCTTAGTTGCCGATCCTTTTACTACAGCTTGGCGATGGAGGTGGGAGGAATCTCGGGTTCCACTGATGAGTAATTCGGTAGGGCTCGTAACAGGGACAAAGGGGAACAGATGCGTGCCATGATTGTCATCTCTTTTAAATACTGAGCACCTACTGTGTACGTCTTCCCCTTCACACACAGTCCCTGGGAGGGGCCTATCACCCTTGAACAGAGAAGCCTGAGGCGGAAGTGGCTGGGGTGAGGGGCGGCCTCACTCGCCTCCCCACCATTCCAGCCCTGCGGTGCGTCAATGTTTGACCGCCTGTGCCCGATTACGGCGGTGGTGGTGGGATTGCAGAGTTGATTTCGAGGGGCAGCAGCAGTGCTAAGTTACCTATATTTAAAATGTTTAATATCACTTCAGTCCCTCCCCCGCCCCCAAGGCTTCTGCTCCTTTTGGACGCCCAGGTGAGCGCTGCCAGGTGGCTGCAGGTAGTAATATCAGCCGAGAACCCTTGTTGCGCACTGACTCCACGTCCCGACCCGTGCCACACGCCTTTCCTCCGTGATGCTCCCCAAGCCCCAGTCCGAGACACGCCGGGGCCAGATCCTCCCTGCGGCCCGCGCGCCCCTTCCACGCCGAGATGCGGAGGTCCGGGAGAGACTCTCCGCGCCGCCGCAGGTGCCCGCCCCTGCCCGGCTCCGCCCGGGCCCTGCGGGAGGGTGAGGCCGGGGGCGGGGTCGGGCGGGGCGTCGCGGGAGGGGGTCGGCCCGGGCTCGGCGACCGCGGCGGTCCGCCGGGGCGTCCCACACCTGCTGCCGTCTGGTGGGTCGGCTGCCTCTGCGCCTCACAATGCTGCCGGTGGTGGTGGTGGTGCTGTTGCTGCTGGGACGCGTGCTCTGGCTCAGCGAGGGTAAGTGAGGACCCAGGAGTTCACGGGCTCCTCCAGCCCTCCCTGGGAACCCGGGAGCCCTGCCTCCCCACCCCTCTGCGAGGACTCCAGCTCAGCAGCCCTCCCCAGGGACCCAGGAGCCCTGCAGCCCCCGGCCGTCTTTTCCGCTGCCTACTGACGCATTCCTTCCCAGCTTTCCAAGAACCCTGTCCCCCGGTCCCCCCCAGGAGTCCCTACTCATTCTCTCCTCCTAGGGACCCAGAACTAGCCTAGTCCTACCCCAGGGCCTCAGGGTCCTCCCCAGACCCCCCTCCACTCGCTGTAACCCTTTCCAGTTGCCAGTCACTCCCCATCCGCCTGGCCTGGGGTCCTGTGAACTGCCCCTTCACTCCACCTGTCCCTGGGGCTGAGGTAGGACTACCAGGGGTCCCCCAGAGGCTAGGAGGAGCTGGGGAAGAAGGGGCCCAGCCCTACCTGGGGCCAGGGAAGATCATAATGTTGCTTTCTCACCCACCCCTGGATGTCACCCTTGGAGAGGTCCCTGTGGCTAGTACCCCTTTCTGTGTGCACAGACACACACACTGACAGGGAATATACAGACACTACAAGCGTGGAGACACAGGCACAGAACACCCCCAGCCTCGCCTGGGCACTTGGGTGTAGGACTCACACACAGACACAGGCAAGATACCCCGAGAGGAGTGCGCACGCACACACACACACACACACACACACACACACACACACACCCTCCACACACCCAGGAAGCCTGGACAGCCTTGGCACTTCCAGCAGAGGCTGCCATGGGCAGACAGAGCAAACAGACCCGAGAATGACCTGCCCCACCTCAGCTGGCACAGAGGGAGTGTTTTTCTTGGTTCCAAACCCATTGCTGGGTGTCCGCCCCGTGCCTGGGTTCTCTGGAGGGCTGTGCCTGGGACCCTGAGATGCCAGAGTGTGGTTAGGTCAGGGTGGGGGGGCCTCCGGGGACAGATTTGGGGTGTGGGGTTAAGACTGGGGCCCTGTCAGCTATGCTTAGACCGGGAGTGTTCCATGGGGTCTGGTGGATCCAGGGGTCAAGGGACCTTATCTGGAAGGCCACTGCGCGCCAGGGGATCTGGAGCTGCCTACAGGCGAGATCTCCCCTTCGAGAGCCACAGGCTGGAGGGTCACTCCTGCGAGCAGATAGCACAGTGTGACAAGGGCCCTGTGGTCACCTGGGAACGTGGCAGATTCTAGAAGGAGGTGGCTGGCGAGCTGGGTGAGGAGGGGTGAGGGCATTTGCTGCACAGGGTATATGTGATGGGAAGTTTAACTGGAGGAACAGGAAATGATAAGCAGGGTCTGTGGGGCTGGTGGAGAGGGGACGCTGAAGAGGCGGGAGGGCCCGGCTCCTGCGGGGCCTCGGGGATCTTGATCCAGAGGGCAGTGGGAGCCACGGAGGTTTCAGGCAGAGAAGTGGGCAGCAGGGAGCAGCGCTGGGGCAGGCGCTGTGAGGGTGAGCGCTGGTCATCCGGAGGAAGGCAAAGCGTTAAACTCATGTTTACGTTTTGTTACTGTTGAGCTCCTCTGTGTTTGCTCACACACATATGCTACTTTTTTCCACTAGGGAAAAATGAAAAATTGGTTTTAATGTTGGCCTGGACTCTTCAAAAAAGTCAGTGTGATTAAGACACTTGTTCTAGACAAAAAGATACAAAAGCAACAGGATGACGGCCCGCCGTGCGTAAGCTGCCTGTGCCTCCTCAGTCCCCGGAGCCGTGGAGAGCGGGCCCCCAGGCAACGGGCAGCCTGGGCGGTTGCTGCCCTACGACCTGGGGAGGGTCCTTGCACCTCTCGTAGCCTCAGTGTCCCCACCTGTCAATGGGACAACAGCTGTCCACAGACAAGGCTGGTGCCTGTAAGTCGGGGAGCGCGGTGCCTGGTGCAGGGCGGGCTCAAGTGAGGGTCTCCTCCTGCCGCTCTGACTGTTGTTTCTGATCTAACGCCAGAGAGTGGCCCCACTGCCCTCACCGGAAGGAGGGGTCGCTCTGGGCTTCTCTGATGCCCAGGTCACAGTGGTTTGGAGGCCCCCTCACCCCGAGCAGTGGCCCCCTTGCTGCCCCTCAGCTCCATCGCCCTGCCAGGTGTCCCTCCCCTGCTGCTTTTGGGTGAAGAGAAAGGAGCACTGGATTGGGAGTCAGAAGCCTGGGTCGGAGCCCCCAGTCAGGTCAGGGTCTTGTTGGCTGTGTGACTGTGGGGGTCGTCTTTTCTGCCCGGGCCTCTTCCCCACCTGTGAAATGAGGGGCTCCAGTCCCACCTACTACCTGCTGCTATGTGTCAGAGCCACACGGAGATCCGCAGAAATGGCTGGCTCGGGCCGCAGGGCCTCCCTGTGTGGGAGGAAGCTGTGCCTGTCAGTGAAAACAAGAGGAGATGCAAAGGGCCCTGAGCCAGAGTCTGGAGGGGAATTGGGGGGGGGGGAGCGAGACCCAGGAACGGGGAGGCCCTCCTTGATGGCAGGGACCCTGTTTAGCTCATCTCTGATGTCCAGTGCCGACCACAGCCATCTGGACAGAGATTTGATGCACAACTTGCAATCTGGAATTGACAAGGGCAGGGGATTGGGATCAGGGCATTCCTGGGAGAGGGACCAGCCTGTGCAAAGGCCCAGGCGTGTGATCTTTCAGATGCTGTGGCTCTGTGACGTGTTTTCTCTTTCATGGCTGTCTTAAAGATATTGTTAATAATAGTTATAGCTTGTTATGTGCAGGTGCTTTATATGCACGATCTCATTTTATTCTATGAAGTGAGGTCCCCTTATCTCCCTGTTTGACAGATGAAGAAACCAAAGCACAGAGAGGTTGAGTAAGTTGTCCAAGGTCACACAGCTAGGAAGTAAGAAAAGCAGGATTCAAACCCAGTCATCCAGGCCCTTCTCAGGCTAGCGCCCTTCCCCAGGGCCAGGGCAGCCCTGACCTGAAGCCTCTAACCTTTGTTTCCCCCCAGCCTCCCACGTTCACCGGCGTGGGCTCCTAGAACTGGCAGGCACCGTGAGTTGTGTTGGCAGCCGCAGCCCCATTGCCTATGTGAACTACGGCTGCTACTGTGGCCTGGGTGGCAATGGCTATCCCGTGGACGACATTGACAGGTAAGCACACGCCTGGGCCCAGGCTAGAAGGTCCCCCTGCGTCCAGGATAGTTAAGGCCTATGAGGAAGTGCCCAAAACTGAGGGTGAGGTTCGGACTGGGAAGCTTCCAGCCCATGGTACTACCTTGCAGGCAGAGGGCCTCCTGGGTGATGTGGCCAGTAAGGCCAAACCTTGGTGCCAGCTGCCCCTCAGCCTGGCCATGGGATGATTACTTTGGCTGAAAAACATAACGTGAAGTTGATCAGACTTATGATGCACCTAGAACCGTTATGAGACCCCCTTTGAGTCCTCACAACAACTTCATTTCAGAGACGAGGAAACCGAGGCACAGAAAGATTAAGTAACTTATCTGGGGCCACATGGAGGGCGAGTGAGGACCCACAGGGAGACAGCATCTTCTGGTCCAGGCCTTGTCCCTGAGAATCCCCATCCTGGGAAACAATTCTGCTGCCCCCAGTATGTCCCGCTCTGCCTCCATCCCCTGGCCACACCTGAACCTGGCTCCGACTGCCTCACTTTCCGCGTCTCTGAGCTCCAGCCACACCGGTCTCCTCGCTTTTCCTGGAGTGAGCCAAGCCCTGCCTGCCTCCTGACTTGACCCATGTCCTGCCATCTGCCTGGGCCAACTTCGTGTCCGCTCTTCCTCCCTTAGGTCTCAGCCCAAGCAACAGCTCGTGCCCAGGATGCCATCCGGGCCCCTCCCTCTCCAGGCGTGGCGATCTCCTTGTACACCCTCTCATAGAGCCAGCTTCCTTCCCTCCAGGGCAAGTTTACAGTGAGACCCTCACCAGGGAGAAGATTGATCAACGTCTGTCCCCCTCACTGACCGGAGCTCTGTGAGGGAGGGTCCTGTTCCCCACAGTGTCACCAGCGGCCAGCCCGGGGCCTGCCTTATACTAGGACCCTGATGATAATAATAAGGTTGCCAGGAGAGCACCCTGCCTCTCCTCACTGCTGGTCTGCCTGCGGCCACCCACAGGTGCTGCTATAAACATGACTGCTGCTACATCCGCGCTGAGAAGGCTGGCTGCTACCCCAAGACCGAGAGCTACTCCTGGCAGTGTGTCCAACAGACCGTCGTGTGTGGTGAGTTCCGGCACCCCCCACGCCACCACCCCCCTCCCCCCGCCGGGGGTCGCTGGGGCATCCAGGCTGTCATAACTTACCACTGTTTCCCACGCTCCATAGACCATCCTTTGTATTTATGGAATATAAGTGATCTTTGATCCTGAGCACTTGAGAAAAATAAAAAAACCTATTTCTTTGCTGTCTGGACAAAACCCAAAAAAGATAGAAATGATACCAGGTATAAACAAGCTAAATATTCATCAGACAGGGCCTGGGTAAGTAAACCCAGGATGTGTCCTCACTGTGGAAGACTCTGCAGCCCGGAGAAAGGATACGATAGAACCATATGCCGACATGGAAAGATGGTGAGTGAAAAAGGAGACTACAGAGTGACAGGTCCAGGAAAGCACAACTTGTGTTAAAAGAAAAAAAAGAAACTTGCAAAATAGTACCATACTACTTTCCGTGGTTACATGTAAATCTATGCAAAGCTCAGAAAAAGGTATATAAAGATGCTCTCCAGACTGAGGATGGCTGTGGCCATCTCTAGGGACAGGATCAGTGAGGGGAGTCGTGGTAAAGGCGATTTCATGTTCTCTGTAATGTTTTTTTACATTTTTTACTTCCATTTTTTACAAAGAGAATGTCTTCATGAATTACTTGTGAATTGAAAGTTAAAAAGCAAAGGAGTCCACATCCTGTAGTGTTTAAGGCTGAAGTGCACTATCTCTGCAAGTTACTTTGATGTGCATGAAAACAAAATAAAATAAAAAGGTGGATGGGTGGATGGATGGATGGACAGAGGGTGGGGTAAGTGAGACGTTAAGGGTAGAATCTGCATGGTAGATATACAGATGTTCTCTGACCAGATCTTTCAACTTCTCTTTCTGAAATTTTCCACAATAAAATGTTAGAAACAGAAGAAAAATGGAAGAGGCGTGTGAGAGGGCTCCGTGCCTCCACGTCCTCACCCCCAGCCCCAGCGTGTGGTCCTCTCAAGGAGGGGAGGATGGTTTGATGGCATGGCATGGTTTGATGTCCCTCCTACACCGTAGTTCTGAGGCTCCAGCTCCAGATGTCCTGCGCTAGGAGGACCAGAAGCCATAGGCTGGGTCCCATCCTGGGGGATGGAGTGATGTGGAACTTGGACCAAGCCTCTACCCTGAGTGTCCATTTCACTGGCTCTTCTTCCCTAAGGCTGAGCCAGGTGGAATGAACCAGGGTTCTAGAGACATCCTGCCACTTAACTGGGGACTCCAGGAAAACCCCTTCCCCCTTCTGGAGCACTGTGCCCTCCTCTCTGAAAATAAGGATGACAGTATTGCAGGTTGGTGGCCCCTGGGCCATGACTGTCTTGCAGATATTTTGTTTCACCTGCACATTGTTTCGAAAAGCAGTTTGAGCCAGCATTTGAAAAATCAAAATCAAGTCATATAAAAAAATCTGAATTTCTGAATGTCTGGTTTCCTTTAAAAAACTGGAGGCTCTAACAGCATCAGACTCAGTAACAACCATTGGCTGGAACTTAGAGGGTCTGCCAATTATAGGCAGGGCCTACCTCTGGCATCTGCCCCAGTCCCCACCGTGCCCTATTGTCTGACATGGAGGCCAAGTGTCAACGACCATATTTCATCTCCCTTGTGCCACTGATTTTGTTATGGAAAAGAAGTATTCGTAACAAACCTAGGAAAACAGGGGGTAGACCAAAAGGCTGCTTTGAGAAAAAATGGGAGTGGTCGGCCCATTTATTTGTCAAAATGAAGAGTACTCCCGTGTTTGACAAGGGCCTCCTTTTCTCCACTCATTGGCACTGCCCCGGTGGGCATCCGAGCTTGCAACCCCCAGTCCAGTGGTCAACAGTCGCTTGGTCAGTGACTCAGATTCTGTGACGTGGGGCAAGCCCCGATCTCTCCAAGCCTCAGCCTCCTCACCAGTAAACTCGGGGCAGAAATCGAGCCTGCTTATTGTGAGGATGAAAGGACCGTGACTGACACGGGCTGCATGCATAGTAGATGTCATTAAATGTCTGTTGAAGAGATGACCAGACACAGAACCTCCGGTGAGATGACACAGCGCTGTTCCACCGAGCACAGGGTTTGGGGGAGTGCATGAACACAGTGCGAACTAACCCTGAACCCCAAAAGGAGAGACTGATTTCTCTTTCGGTCCTTCTAATTTTGTGGAGGAGAAAGTCTCAGTTTAAGGCTACTTTAGCTTTAAAGTCCCTGGAACATGGCTGATCCTTTTTTTTTTTTTTGAGGAAGATTAGCCCTGAGCTAACATATGCTGCCAATCCTCCTCTTTTTGCTGAGGAAGACTGGGCCTGAGCTAACATCCGTGCCCATCTTCCTCTACTTTATATGTGGGACGCCTGCCACAGCATGGCCTTCTGAGTGGTGCCATGTCCGCACCTGGGATCCGAACCAGCAAACCCTGGGCCACTGAAGCAGAACATGTGCACTTAACCACTGTGCCACCGGGCCAGACCCTCGGCTGATCCTTTTTAATGAGACAGTAGGCTTCTGGCTTACGGCCTTATCCAAGAGCCGTTCTATTCCTAAATTTAATGCTGGCTTTTGGAAACATTCTTTGTATCTATCTATCTATCCACGTACCTATCGATTTATTTATCCTTAACCACAAGCAATGTGCATTTAAGGAGGATGATTGTAACATGATCCACGCTAACATCGCTGTACATTTTACGTGACCAGCCACTTCTGAAGTTAAAAGAAAAATAAAACTGCAGTTAAAAATGTTAATGTTCCTCAGGGCAACCTCACTGGTTTTTAAAACAAAGTACTTGGGGCCGGCACGGTGGTGCAGTGGTTAAGTGCGCATGTTCCGCTTTAGCGGCCTGGGGTTCACCGGTTCGGATCCTGGGTGCGGACATGGCACCGCTTGGCACGCCATGCTGTGGTAGGCGTCCCACATATAAAGTAGAGGAAGATGGGCACGGATGTTAGCTCAGGGCCAGTCTTCCTCAGCAAAAAGAGGAAGATTGGCAGCAGTTAGCTCAGGGCTAATCTTCCTCAGGGGGGGAAAACCTAACTCCTTTTCTTATTGCTTTGTTTTATTTATTTTTTATTTTATTTTTTAAATCTTTTTTTTTTTTTTTTTTGAGGAAGATTAGCCGTGAGCTAACTGCTGCCAATCCTCCTCTTTTTGCTGAGGAAGACTGGCCCTGAGCTAGCATCCGTGCCCATCTTCCTCTACTTTATATGTGGGACGCCTACGACAGCATGGCGTGCCAAGTGGTGCCATGTCCACACCCAGGATCCGAACTGACGAACTCCAGGCCGCCAAAGCGGAACATGCAAACTTAACTGCTGCACCACCAGGCCAGCCCCAGGTGTTTATTTTTAAAATTGCCTTCTGATGGATGGTATTTTCCATTTATAGGTCCCTTTCAGATGAATTAAAAAGCTGAATCTAATTTAAAACTAGGAAGTGAATAATCATACAGGCACAGCGAAGGTAAGGCTGGGGTTGGGGAAGTGAGACTAAGTAACTGAGGAGCTAGAAATGACCCAGACACCTGGTTCCAGAACCTGTTTTTTTCCTTTTTCCTTTTAATTAAGAATAAACGTAACATAAAATTAACCATTTTAAAGTGTACAATTCAGTGATATTTAATACATTCACAATGTCTTTCAACCACCACCTCTACTGAGTTCCCGAACATTTTCATCAGCCCTCGCCTAAAAAAAGCTTATACCCATGAAGCAGTCAGTCCCCCAGCCGCCTCCCCCCGGTACCTGGCAACCACCAATTCGCTTCCCATCTCTACAGATTTGCCTATTCTGGACATTTCGTACAAACGGAATCATACAGTGTGTGACCTTTTGCGGCTGGCTTCTTTCACTGAGCGTGGCGTTTTCAGAGTTCCTCCACGTTGTGGCGTGTGTCTGAACTCCATCCCTCTTATGGCCGCATAAATTCCACTGAGCCTGCAGACCACGTCTTGGTTGTCCGTCGGTCCATCTGTGGGCGCTGGGGTGTGCACCTTAGACTCCTGGGAATAGCGCTGCTGTGGACATTTGTGAACGGGAATCTGTTTGACTCCCCGTTTTCAGTTCTTTGGGGTCTATACCTGGGAGTGGAATTCTTGGATCATCTGCTAATTCTATTTTACTTTTTGAGGAGCCACCAAACTTTTCTTCAGAAGCTGCACCATTTTACATTCTCATCAGCAACATATGAGGGAGCCTTTTCTCCACAGCCTTGTCAACACTTGTTTTTTTGCGGTTTTTTTGATTTGATTAGTGGGGGTGATTAGTGTCTCTTGTGGCTTTGATTTGCCTTTCGCTCGTGTCTAATGATGCTGAACGTCTTTTCATGTACTTGTTGGCCATTTTTATATCTTCTTTGGAGAAATGTATATTTATTTTTGCACAGTCTTTTGCTCATCTTTAATTGGGTGGTTTGTCTTTCTGTTCTTGGGTTGTGAGATTTCTTTATATAGTCTGAATACTAGACCCTTATCAGATATGTGATTTGCAAATATTTTCTCCTGTTCTGTAGGTTGTCTTTTCATTTTCTTGGAAATGTCTTTGATGCACAAAGTTTTAATTTTGATAAAGTCCAAGTCATCTGTTTTGTCTTTGGTTGATCGTGTTTTTGGTGTCCTAAGACTCTGTTGCCAGATCTAAGGTCACAAAAACTCACCGCCATTTTCTTCTAATAGTTTTTTTGAACTCTTATATTTAGGTCATTGATCTACTTTGAGTTAATTTTTGTATATGTATGTGGTAGGGGTCCAACTTCATTCTTTTGCATGTGGATATCCAGTTGTTCCAGCACAATTTGTTGAAGGGACTCTGCTTTCCTCATTAAATAGTCTTGATACCCTTGTTGAAAATCACTTGGGGGGCCGGCCCCGTGACGCAGCAGTTAAATGCGCACGTTCCACTTTGGCGGCCCGGGGTTTGCCGGTTTGGATCCCGGGTGCAGACATGGCACCACTTGGCAAGCCATGCTGTGGCAGGCATCCCACATATAAAGTAGAGGAAGATGGG